CATCAGGATAAAGCTGTGCTTGTAGGATCCATGTCAGCCCATTTCCTAGCATAAATATATCTGACTGAAGAACAGATGTTTCTTTTTGCTTCAGTTCCATTAAAATTTCTCAATATGCCCACTATGACTCATTATAAAAAACCGTGCTTAACCTAAGTAAACTAAATAAAACAGATAGGGCTTAATGCTTTTCCTAAACAAACCCTGTATTTTTTTCTGGTTAATTTTGAGAAGACTCTGTGTCCTTCACAAGCAGCATTCAGGTTCATGTTCTTAAAGGTATTCAAGCTTTGCATTCCCCCTCGTTCTAACATTTTTGGAGTTGGACTTTAGATGCTGTCTACTACATTAAATAAACATGTGGATTAATTAGAAAATATACATAGAAGGTGAGTGGGACATAGTTAAAATGGCAGTGAACTAAATGAGACTTAAACATGTATTCATAACTTTGAATGAACACATGTTAACAAGAAATATATTTGTCAGTGGGAAACAGGAATAGTAGCTGATGACAAAAAATTGAGACACAGGCTAATTTTGTAATATTTGTGGTGTTTATGTGGAATACAATTGGGCAAGCATCTGTAAATCAGTTACTGACTGTGTTGTGCAAACCCCAGGACACTGATTTGACACATCCACAATTCCAGGATAGGCTGTGTCAGAATTAGTACAATACGTAGTAAATGATAGTATAATGAAAAAAAGGAATTATTAGGAATTCTGGGGTGTTGTTTTCAAAAAAACAAAAGCTTTCTTAACTACCATGTCCAATTACTTTACAGTGATATGAAATTTACATTCAACACTCAATATTTCAACAATGGTTCAAATCCCTACCAGTGTGTGTAAGTATTCATGCTTGTTTATTGATCCTTTCCTCTACTGTGTATGTATTATACACAAGAAGTGTTAAAGTAATATATTTGACATTTTTTGCAACAGGTGGTAATATAATATGCAGTAGTTGTTTGGCTTAAGAAGTTTCACAAAAGCATCAGTAAGCTAAAACCATTCATTTGGTAGGAAAGAGAAGGAATTGCAATATCCATACAGTAAATGTCAATTTACTAAGTTCACAACAGTCATTTTTAAAAAGTGAATAATGGAATATAGACTAGCTTCCAGGACTATTTTGGGTTTTGGTGATGAGAAGAAACACCCAGTGATAGTCTTGGTTTTATGAAGAAGATAGATTGCTTTGAAAATGTAGTTGTTTGTCTCACTACAGTAAAAAAAAAGGTAAACTTTAGATCAGATAATACTCTGCTAATTCTTACCCTTTTCAGGAGTCTGATTTGTATAGCTGCAGACTTAAGGAAACTGCCTAACATGTACGAATCTACTTCAATTTAGGGAATTGCCTTTGTCACTTTTGAGAAAGATTTATTTAAAATACTTATGAAATAAATGCAATTTGGGCATCAACAAGGCTTTTTCCAAACTTGTGTTTGCATTTAAAACTTTATTTTTTATGTTCAGAGCATCACTGGAAACACAGAAACTTGTAGGCACAAATCACCTTATATCTAGACTTTTTAAATAAAATATTTGCTAATGAAATCTCAAGAACATGTTTTCATAATAACTATACATCTTAATACTCCATATTCATAATATAAAAGTCATCTGTTGTGAAGAGTTGAGTTGTCCAGATCATGTTTTCTAGGTGCTAAAATTCGCTATAGGTTTTACATGTTTTAAATGTCTTGTTATTTCTGTACATTTTTAAGAGTTTATTATACTGGTATCACATTCCCAAAGAAAACACAAAATGTAATAAAGCTCGATATTTTCTAATTTACCTTACTGGTGTTTTTTTGTATTTAAAAAAAAAAAAAGTTTGTATAAGCAATAACAAAACAAATGCTTTAAACCAGCTCACACATATGTAAGATATGTAAAATCTAGTAGTATAACCTACAATGACAATGCAAGGGTATAAAATATGTTCTCTTTCAAGTCTGTGGTCCATGAACAATATGGCTTCTGTACTGGCCTTGCTTTGATAAATGCAAGTCTATGAAATAATTAATGGCTTATTATGTAACAGGAGAGGGATCAACTGGGAACTAAAGGAAATGGTCCTTAAGCTTGACAACAGGTGTTTACTTGTTTTATTTCCACCTTTGCCACACAATTACTCTTCACTTGCCATCTGGAACCTTCCGCTAAAGTCAAGGGCCAAATTTCAGCCTGTAATACCATTACAGTCATAACCTTTGAGTCTAATTCAAATCCCCTATATTCTACTTTTGCAAGATTCCTCATCATGTAAATAGTTCCTCTAGTGAAAGTAATGCTATAATAAGCATCATTGTATTTATATGGCCTTTTTTGTGTGAGTTTCTGTACCCTTATTCCACACAGGCTGCTTAGACATGTGCCATACATGGCCTTTGGCACTGGTCCATTAGCATCAGCTGGAGACCTCTGTACTGCTGACCTCCGTGTATGCCCCATTATTCCCTAAGTGTGTTCACTCTTTTAATTTTCCAGTTTTGCTACTGGAATCCAAAACTGTAAAGAAAGATGAGAATCTTCAAACATTTGCTTACAGAGTAAATGTATAAACATGTATAAAAGTCTTACTAAACATAGTGCTTTTAAATGCATTTCATCCCTGATCTGGAAATACTGTTTGATCTATTGACAGACTGAATATGAAGAATATAAGAATATGAAGAGAAATCTGACCAAACATAGACAGAGCACTGGACTGGGACTCAGGAAGATCTGGTCTTATTCCTGGGTCTGTCACTAGCCTGCTGAGTAACCTCTGTTAAAGTTGCTTCACCTCTTTGTGTCTCAGTTTCACTATCTGTGAAGATAAGACAATGATGCTGTCCTTTTTGTGAAGTGCTTTGAGACATATGGAGAAAAAGCATTGTATAAGAGCCAGGAATTTATTGCAAAGGAAGAGCTTTAGCTTTTTTCATGCTGTCTCCAATTTTCTCTTCTAATGCAATGAAATACACACAAAATTCTGTCCTCTTTGAAATCAGTATTCTTATGAGTGAATGATACGTGTGTGAGTCATTCTGAGTGAATGACAGAAGTTGTGCTCCTTTCTAGAGTGTGCTAATAGCAATTTTTGCTGAAAGAAACGTAGGCTATCAACCTACCTATGAAACATCTGTACTTCTGTTTGGAAGGTATAAGATAAACAAGCAATAGCTTGGAGAACAACAAGGTAACAATTTTTAATGCGAATACTGAATTTAAACAGCTCTTAGAAGATATAATGCAACAGCATGCATACTAATAATACTAGTACTTGATTGTATTTTCCCATAGTATGATTTTGACATACACATTTCTCAAAAATAGTGTTTTGTTTTTATTATTTCAAAGCAGTTCCTAAGGTGCAAATTGTAGCTTATACAATTCAATGTGTCCTTTAATACATGTATGTGTTGCTTTTATCTTTGATGGTCTTTTGTTGTTGTTATCAGTAAGAAACATACTTTAATCATTCATATTAGTTTTTCAAAAAAAGCTTTGGAGATAGATAGATCCAGAAAAGCTCACACTGAATACATTTTTCCCCTTCCAAAGATTTTGGGAAGAGCAATTCCCCCTGACAGAGTGGTTTGAATCATTTTTTTTTCTGTTCTGAACCTTGTTTTGCACTGTAACACAGTTCTGACTGCAACTTTTAATATGACAAATCCTGTAGTACTTACCCTGGCAAATCTTCTATTAGATACTCTTGTGGGCCCTAACTCAAGACATAGGACTTGGTTCTATAAATAGTTGCAGCAGTTCAAAGCATAAGTTTAAATGGTCAGTATAAAACCCTTTAGACAATGTAAAGGCAATAGATCTAGTAGCGTATTGGATGTTTAGCATGAATGCAAAACCATTCTAATTGAAATATAGTAATATAAAGAAGTTTTACTTGGCTAATCTGGTAATTTGAATAAAAACTTTGTGTACTACACTGATGCCCCTCCAGCAACACCACCATTTCAATAGACCTCCAGTTCATTGACTAATCACACTGTGTACCCATCAGCAGTGCTTGAACTGAGCCTTTTCCATAGAGGCGTGTGTAGGGGAGTCCCCAGCCACTCATCCCTAGGAAAGTTTCTGTTTGTATATGCACACCATTTTTATACAGTCTGACATTCTCCAAAGGCAAACATCTGCTCTTCTGAAATATGGAGTCCCCACCACTCATCCCTAGGAAAGTTTCTGTTTGTATATGCACACCATTTTTATACAGTCTGACATTCTCCAAAGGCAAACATCTGCTCTTCTGAAATATCTTGGGGCCAGAAGTACCAGGTCGTTCTTGAAGTAATGGGTTAAGAAAAGGAGATGATCTCCATCTCTCCAGGGGGTGGCTTTTCCCCATCCTTCAGTTCAAGCATTGCACCATACTAGAAAGACATCTTGTGCTGTGGTAGGTAGAGGGAATATCCATTCCTTTTAACTGTGCTACCCTTTAGTGCAAAACAGTTCATTTACTTGGCAAATCTGAGATTACTTTATGCACACAGCCACAGCAGTCAGTATTGAAAATTGCAGAGAATTGTTTGATCACAGCATTCTTAAAGAATATGATAACTTAATCCAGCATGCATTTATACATTCTAGATTTCTTCATGGGCATTTGTTTGGTTTTCTTCTAACATTATGTTACATAGATACATTGCTTCCCATCGTAGTTATATGCAAAAATAAATATGAAGTCGACTTCCCAAATCTTCTGAAGTGTGCCAAGGATGAAATTTGTTTTCTTCTGTAAATTATAAAATTAGATCCTGGCCTGTCTTTTTTTTTTACTTCCTGATTTTTTTCACTGATAGCTGGAGCACGTGATTTCTGAATTGTTGGGTTTTTTTCATAGTAACCACAGTACCCATTTTTTTCAAATTCCAAACATTTATTTTAAAACAGATACTAATAAGTAGAGTCTTGTATGGTTCTTGTTTTACACTGGTATTGTCAGACTGACAAGACTGCATGACTGAACTCATGGCAGTGCAATTTCACATCACAACACATTTGCCTTTCAGCTTCTCTTTCCTTTTCTGCTGCTTGGTTTTTTTTGCCATCAATTTGTAAACTCACAGTCCTGCGTTTCTCTAGGTTTAGCAGCTCTTGGAATAACTCCTTCACATTGTGGTTCAGCTTGGCAGAGGTCTCCATAAAGGCACACTTCCACTTCTTGTCCATGGCCTCTCCTTCACTGCTCTCCACCTCTCGGTTTTGGTTCTCATCATTTTTGTTCCCCACCAGAATTATTGGAATGCTTTCTACATCTCCTTTAATCTGACATATTTGTTCATAGATGGGTCTGAGTTCTTCCAAAGACTGATGGCTGGTGATAGAGTAAACCAAAATGAAATTATGTTCTTTAGAAATAGAAAGATGTTGCATGGCTGGAAATTGATGGGTCCCTGTAGTGTCAGTTATCTGCAAAGTGCATATGCTCTTATCATAGCTGATCACCTGCTGATAGGTGTCTTCAATGGTAGGGATGTAGCGCTCTCTGAAAGTGCCTTTCACAAATCTCAAGACCAAAGAACTTTTTCCAACTCCTCCAGCCCCAAACACAACTCTGTAATCATTGCTTTGCTCAGGCATGTTTCTCAGTGTGTCTGATGCTCAGCTAGAGGAAAAAATCTAGGAAAGAAAATAACGAAAACAACAAGGACATTATTCCAGGTATCTGTGGGGAATGTACTTTGTGATAACTTTTCCAATAAGAATAAGGAATAGAACATAAATGCTTGGCATAATAGTTGTAATATTTCGGGAAGACTTGCAAGGGGTTATAGAATGATTTATTTCAACAGTAGGTTTAAGACTTACAGTCCATCATGGGTTGGTAACAAAAAAACATCTTTATCACTTCACACCTTATTTTAAATTAATGTTGTGATTTTAAGTATTCTTCCTACTGGACTAATGTCCCCAGAATAAAAAGCTACATCTGTTCATCTGGGAACTGATCTGTCAGCAAGGCCAAGGACTGAACAAAATATAGAAGCTAGTGAATTACTCTTTTGTCTCTAAAACAAGGCTCCACAAATCATCACTGAAGCACAATGGTAGACACATGTATGACAGTCAATTATTCTAAATATGTCTTCTCTTCAATAACTAGGGAATTTGTCTCCAGTACAGCTGGACAACATTTCTTAGTGACACGTAAGAAGTATCTGTGGATTCTTCAGCAATAGCACTAAGTATGTTTGTTTCTGACTCTTTGGGAGCATGTGCCCCACTTTGATGTGGTTTTCCACTTTGGTTTCAGATCACAGAGTACACTTTGATAAACTGAAATTGTTCATGTTCGATTTGCCTTTTCATTCCAAATTTTATTATGATATTCAAATGGAGACATCCTACATTTATGAGAAAGGTCATGCAGGCAACTTTACAATATTTTGAAGTGGCTCATATTATCAAGGCTGGAGTAAAAGGGAAATGCATAAATCAACAGTCGCAAAACTCCATGATCTCGGAAGTTAGTAACATTTGCAAAAACCTATCTCTAAAAAATAGCACCACAGATAGGGACAACATTATTAAATAATAAAAATGGTAAAGCTCTATCAGGGTTGCAAGCTATAATTGTTTTAGAATTCATTGAAATAAATGTGAAGATAAATTCTTCTTGCCATCAGTGGTAGTTCATTAGGTGCACAGCATGTATAAATATATTTTTATGTTTAGTGAGATTTAAGTAAATAAATACTAAAAAATTGAACCCTAAAAGGCAAAGAGTCTAGGATATCCTTACTCTTCATACCAAAGCTAAATCTAGCATTATAAAAATAGCATGCGTTGGACAAACTGCAAAATTTGCTTCACCCATATTTATTCTGAGGAAAATTGACTGATTTAATAGGGGAGATTGTAAGTGAAATACCATTATCTTGTCCATGGGCCTTAGAGGACAGGTGACTGAATTTACCTGTTGCAATGTTGCCTGGGTAGTAGATAATCCAGAACCACCCAAATAGTTTCCTTACTGAATAAGGAAAGCCTTCAAAGTATTTCAACACTGCAACTAAAGGAGTGATTGCAGTGTGGGTAAGAACTTTAAGTTACCTTTCATCTATATAGCATGGGGAGAATAACAGTGACAATGTAGAGGTATGGATGTGAGTGGAGCCCCCTGCCCCATGACCTTATCCCAGTTGCTGGCCCACACTGAATTTTGTGCTACTGCACCTTCAATGTTATTGCTGCCTGTGCCAGTTAGATTAAGGCTATGCCTTTCCATGCTGCACTAACAAACATTTTTATTTTTCTGTTCAAGCATATCCTGATTTTGTTATCCTTCTTGTCCAGGGCATTCTATTCCATTCTAATTCTTATGTATCCTATTCCATTCTAATTCTTAGGGCAGGGGGCTCCACTTCCCCTTGTACTTGAAAATAGGTAAGAAAAAGATGCTTGGTCTCCAGTCTTTCCACAGTTTTGATTTTGTTGCTAAAGATTATCACCATGTATACATTGCCAGATTTCCATGAAATGTCACAGACTGCAAATTTATTTGAAAACTGTTTAGCTAGATGGTATCTTTTAGGGTAACATTGTCTTTGCAAAACAACCTAATACTACATTTATTATATGAAATAGGAGGCTTTGATTGCATCTTAGCTGATCAAGTTCTTGAGCTTTTATGACATCTGACTGAGATGTCAGTTTAAGTCAGAACTACTGGACATTTAGGGAAGTAACCATTTGCAGCCCAGAAATAGATTTGCTCTTTTCATAGGCCTCCTTTATACTACATATCCATTTTAAATGGGGAGGTTAAAAGACTGTCACTATATCATTGCCACCTATTCACATTCAACCAAAACCCATTCCATAACCTACAGTCAAGGTGAGGGGGATTGCATTTCATGCGTACTGGCAGCCCTATGCAATCAGATAAATCAGACAGATTTTGATCTCAGATACACAAGTATGATATTCAATTCAAACGTTGCTTGACAGGAAGCGCTCCTGACGTTAGACTGAATGGAAAAGTGTTTGTCACAGCTTTGACACACTCTTTTTCTCTACCATTTCACATTTTCCTCTTGTCTTTCTTTGGTATTCATTTCAAGAATTCTACAGCAACCAATATTTTATGGTTGTTTTCACAAAAAGGCAAAAGAAAATATGTTTTGTTTCAATTCAGACATACAGCTGTATTGTCACTTGGTGGGTCTTTGTCCTCGTTTCAGCTGGGATAGAGTTAATTTTCTTCCTAGTAGCTGGTATAGGGCTGTGTTTTGGATTTAGGATGAGAATAATGTTGATAACACACTGATGTTTTGGTTCTTGCTGAGCAGAGTTTACACTAGTCAAGGACTTTTCAGCTTCCCATGCTCTGCCCGGTGCACAAGAAGCTGGGAGGGGGCACAGCCAGGACAGCTGACCCAGACTGGCCAAAGGGCTGTGCCGTACCATATGATGTCATGCTCAGTATATAAACTGGGGGAAGAAGAAGGAAGGGGGGGACGTTCGGAGTGATGGCGTTTGTCTTCCCAAGTAACCG